CAGGTCCTCACCGGACATGGGAGCTTCAGGAGGTACCTGTGTCTGATAGGGCGTCGGATCCGTTCCACCCGCGCCTCAAAGAGCCATCAGATCACCGCGGATAGGGCCCAATAGGGCTGATGCCGATACGGAGCCGCGGAGGACTTAATGGGTTGCCGGGGCTCCGGCTCGATGTGCAAGAGTAGGAACGGGGTGATTTTAAGTCAGTAAGAGTCTGACAGGAGTATCAGGCTCTCGTCTCACCCGGGCGGGAGAAGTAATAGGATGATTTTGCACGCTCAAAAAAAAGTTTTGAGTATCGAATATATTAATTTAATTTTGTCTCCCAGTATCTCTAATCTCTGATAAGTAGCAGTACTCTCTGATATTACTCTGATAGTAGTACTACTATCATAGACTATCACTAGTACTCTTCTCGGGCGTGTTGTGATAACTGACTAAAGGAGTACCAAAAGAAGTCTCAAAGATACCGACTAGCAATCTCCAATCAATATCCCATGCATGAAGGTTATGATATAGCTAACTTATATTTGCGGCCCAGTACCTGATGTTAGAATGAGATTCGCAATAGACATACCATCTATTATCAGTTGATTATATTATAAGTCCAATGTATCCAATCCTTTCTATTGCCAGAAGCCGATAACAGTAATACACTACGCATATTATTGAAGAATTCTAAACGGCCAATAATGAATTGGCCTAGCCAAAGAATCAAAATGATTTGCTTCAACTGTATAAGTAATACTTACAAGAGTGTACTGTAGTGTATAATTATTAAGGGTTTAAAATTATACATTGTCCAATTGTGATTAATTATGCGTATCCACTGCTTAGGTGTCGAAATATTTAAATACTGAGCAAACACATCTATTATAGTAAGATCAATTAAATACTCGCGGTATCAAACGAAACTTGTATTTTAATAAAAATACTTTGATAGAACCTTATACATATAAGAATAAAATGACATCTACGTATGTCATGTTATGTCACCTTTTTATCCAATGATGGCATGACATTGACGACAACTGCGTTAGCTGACATGACGAGAAGAAATCAAGGAATGACAAGAAAGACATGAATTTCTAACGCTTTGTTGTACATTCTTTTTTTACTGACGGAATTTTACTTTACTCAGTAAAAAATAAAAACAAAGTCCTTTCATTTGATCGAATGCGGTTCAAATACCAGATTTCCTAAATCAGACAAATATGCACTTTATTAATTATTATGATTTTCGGCTTACACGCGTAAACTATTTAACGAGGAACTCGACTAGTTTCAAGTTATACTAAGCTTATGAGGCTCATATTAATGAGCAGTATTCCGCGACCTGCGACTCGGTGACTGTCGCGCTGCTAATTACGTAAATAGTTACGTGAGTAAGCCGAAAAATATAATAATTAATTTAGTATACCTTCCGAAACTTATAATATAAATATGCTCTTTGTCCGATAATGGTAACGAACTGGCCAGGCAACGTCCAGAATTGTTTTGTGTGTCATAATAGGCGCGTTTACTAACAAAAACACATCAACCCAGACCCAGTTAAATACAAGTTAAGAAACTATATACAATAAAAAATGCAATCTTATTGTTTTTCAACACAGAGATTCCATTACAGATAGAGCAGTAATCAATCTTCACGAACAATTATGACGATAACGGTAGGTTAACTAGCACGTCAATGTATTCTAAACTGTCAATTTCTTTAACAGATTTTCAACTTAATCATGAGGCGATAAGATTCAAAATCTAGCACAAAAAATTGTTAGTATAGGCTAACCTGCAGGCGTGTTACCTATTGCATTATTTTATCTTCAATCGATGGTCTTACTATGAATGGCTAGCCTACTCCACATTCCATAACGGGTTACATAAGAATCCAACTGTGCCTAAAAAATTGATAGCTTCACGCTCGCTTTCATCAATGATGTGAGCAGAAAACATAAAACTTTAGTGTTTTTTAAATTAAACTGTTTGAAAATAGGTCAGAGTTGTGATATGAAAACCAATTTCATCTGTAGACTGACATAAGACGTAACCGTACCTATAATACATTCTGATTCCTATGGATATGATCCTACAGGATGATTTAAGTATTTCATGATTGAAGAAAAACTGAAAATAAAGACAGTTGCTGCCTCATAATGCGTCCTATGCAGTACCTAATGGGTTCAGCCTTTGCGATTTCAAAATACGCAAATCTAGCTTAGAGCTGAATTAAAGTCATTGTTGAGCAAAGCTCTTGAACTTCACAGTACGATAATAAATTAACTAGTAAAAAATAAGTATAGAATAAGAATTCTATGTCTCCCGAGGGAACAAACAACTCAGATTTTATTTACACAATGCTTGTCATGAAGTTAATAAATAATTATACTACTTCATAGTCATTGTTATACATATAGACAATCTGTTTTTATGGAAGACGCCGAATTGTATAAAAATAGGCCACTATTACCTCAAATGTAGTTTTTATACAAAATCGAAATGACTCACTGACTTATAATTAGCGAATCTGATTCACAATGATAAAAAATGGCGGGCGCCATTGACAGGTCACTTTACGTAAATCTCAGCTATTCAGGTTAAATGCAATAAGCGTTATAATTACATTACATTATGTCTAATACGTTAAGTAGAATAAAACATAACAACAAAGCGGTGTAAAAACTGGGTAACGCAAATCATACTCTTACAACGTAGGGTTCTGTATAAATTGTTAATTTATTTGTAAGTTTTCGGTTTCAGTAATAAAGGTTAAAAAAAGATAGTTTAGAAATAGCTAATGATATTAAAATCGGGAAATAAATACGGTTAACAATTATTTAAACCTAGATCCATAAAAACATAATCGTAATACAGAGGTATCCGCCTTATATGTCAGTCTGATTGTATAAACACAAAACCAACTGAACGGATTTTTAATAAATTGTCTCAAATTTATAGAATAGGAAGCAAAGACCTAACGTAGTACCTATATTAGCAACTGGTGATTATAGAAACTGTGTACTAAATCCTTCAAAGACTCAGGTGTAAAATTATGTAAGATTTCTAATATGTACCACTGTTATGTTACGGAACTCTAAGTATATAAAGTAGGTATTAATATTTACCAACATGACTGACTTACGTAAATTCGCTGTGAGAACTGTAATAGATTTAGCGTGGACTAATGTTAAGAACAAAAGAATTAACTATGGAGCTATGATAAGAAGGCTTGGAGGAAATTGCGAAAGTAACGTTCTACTTAAAACGTATGTAGTGTCACTATCTCGTATCGGTGTGAATCTGACATTATCTGCCATCGATGATTGCTAGTTGCATTCATAAATGGTCGGTACGTACAATGACCTGCATGTTTTCAGGTACACAGGAATGTGCACTTTGTTTTCTGTTTAGTAGATGCTGCAGTCTTATATAATGTAACGTGAAATATATATTTATGTTGGACAGGATCTCGATACTGAAATTTGTAATTAGTTTTAAAAATCTTAGGTCTGTAATGTAGACTTCTGTGTAAAATCATGTCGGACCAGCAGTAAATCGCTCAGTATAAAAAAGTGATGACCTAAATGTCATCTGAATATAGTTCTAAGACTACCCAATTCTCAAATGACTTACTTTGACTTATAGTCCTATGTCCCCTAGATGGGGCAGAGGGCGTCCACAGAGGTTCTCCATTTCGATCGATCTTGAGCTTCTCGCTTCACCTCGCTCCACGTCATTCCGATGCTCGCCGCCTCTGCTATCACAGTACGACGCCAGGTTTGCCGAGGTCGGCCACGCTTCCTTTTTCCCTGGGGATTCCAATCCAGCGCTTGCTTGGAAATATGGTCGGGACCCCTTCGGAGCGTATGGCCTATCCATCCCCATTTGCGACGTTTGATCTGATGGTCGATCGGAGTTTCGCGGCATCTCTCCAATAGGTCTACATTGGAGATGGTCTCGGGCCAGAAAATACCGAGAATGCGACGTAAGCATCGGTTGACGAAAACTTGGATTTGGCGGGAGATGTCTTTCGTGACCTTCCACGTCTCGCACCCGTAGAGCAGTACGGATTTGACATTGGACCCGAAGATTCTGAGCTTAATTCTTCGGGTCAGTTTCCGTGACTGCCACACAGGTCTCAGCTGCGCGTAAGTAGCTCGGGCTTTGGCAATCCGTGAGGCGATGTCCTCCTCACTCCCTCCAGTTTCTGACACGACGCTCCCAAGGTAAGTAAACTTGTGGACGCGTTCCACTGCCTCAGTGCCAATCAGCAACGGTGAATTATTCTTCACGCCCGATCTCATATCTTTGGTCTTCCGTGTGTTGATCTTGAGGCCTGTTTTTGCCGCTTCCTGACGCAGATCGTCTAGCTTTGCTTGCATGTCGGCGTGGGTATGACTAAGCAGGCAAAGATCGTCGGCATAGTCCAAGTCTTCTAGGACGTTGGATAATCCCCATTCTATCCCGCGGCGCCGATCGTAATATTAATCCACTAATTTAATTGTGAGTTATTTAATTATATATCAAACATTAATTAGTCTGACCACAGTGCACGTGTATATTCTGACAACTAAACGAGTACTGGATACGCTAATTGTCACGGATCGACTATTTCATCTGCAACTTGAAATTTCAAATATATTTCAGTATTTCGAAACTGTATATTCCGCAATACCATGTACATTTGGTCGATGCAGGAAAAATACGAGCATATCCTAAACTCTCAAACATGGAACATTGTATCCGAGTACTACGATATTTAAAAAGCTCGTTCTAAAATCGACTGCCTACTCGTTGACATTTACACATGGCCGATCTCATTCCGATGGACGTCACCTGCTCTCTTCACCTTTAATGTCACTTCCCTGATGAATACCATACATCCGAGCCTGGCTGGAGCTTGCATGAATAAGATTTTCGCGGTCGAACCCGCGAGCCCTTCCAATACACGTCAAGGCCTCTACTCGCCGTATATATTAAGTTCACCCGCCCGCAACGACACACTTTGTTACTTTCACGCGAGCAGTGCACATTTTGAACGTTCAAAATGTACAGGCTCATTATATTTGCCTTTGTGATCGCAGCCGCGACGTGCCAACAACAAGAAGGAGGCAGACGTGTGCCCAAGTACGCGGGCGACCCGAAGACAGCAGCTATCGTGCAGGAAGCGCGGTATCTCAGTGGAAACGGTGCTTTCGGTGCCGCCTACCAGCAGGAGGATGGAATCAACTTCAAAGAGGAAACTGACGCCGATGGCAACAGGAGAGGAAGTTACTCGTACATTGACCCCAGTGGACAGAGGAAAACAGTGAACTATATCGCGGGAAAGAATGGATTCCAAGCCGTTGGTGACCACATCCCTACCGCTCCCCAAGCTGCCGCGCCCACTCCCGGATACACTCCCGACCCCCGATACAACTCACCGGATTACAAATCTCAACAATACAGTGCTCCCCAACAGTACGTAGCCCCCGAGCCCGCGCGCAACTATGGTGGCAAACCAAACGAGGATGACGGTCAGTACCACCCAGAATTATACGAGCAGAACTACGAGGCTCCCCAGCAACAGTACCAGCCACAACAGCAGTACCAGACCCAGGCACACTTCCAGCCAGCGCCTCAGCCTCAGTACCAGCCACAGCCCCAGTACCAGCCTGAGCCACAGTACCAGTCTAACAACATCTACCCTGGTACACAGCAAGCACAGTACAGTGGCTTGCCCTCGTCCCAACAATACTCGCAGCCCGCCCAGTACTCGCAACCTCGTCAACAACAACAGTACTACGAGCCCACGACGCAGCAACCGACCCGCTTCTTCCCTCCCGGCAAATTCAGCCTGAACAGAGCACCCGATGGCTACACCTACTCATTCCACAAAGTATAAATCTAATTATAGAGAGGGCTCCGGCGATTTGTAAAGGCCGAAATACGTAAAAAGCATGCATCAATTAGCAACTCGCCGAGTCATCGAGGGGCGGCAGTGTGCGTACTCCGCTCTAAAGCATTTCTTAATTGTTGTTTGCTGTGATATTGTGAGTTAATGGACAGGTATACATATGTTGTTCGTTTTGTTGCTAAGATGGTTTGAGGGCCGAACGAGCGTCAGTTGACGATAACTGAACTTTGTAAATAAACTTAGAAGTATACAAGAAATGTGGATTTTCATTCATGAAAATGTTTACCCTGTTGTTGCATTCATTTACATAGTTGTCTATTTTGAAATTATAAACCAAATCCCTTTCCGTTATAGTGGAATCGTAATCATTACTCAGTTATGGTAATGTCTACTTTTATTGCTTTTATCTCACCGTGCGTAATAAAAACTGTATCACGTAATGTAAAAAACCAGAACCCCGCTAACTTCCTAGTAGGCCGACATAAAGGCAGGGTGTGGGCTGCGTCCGCATTCTACTGTACTTGCACAAAGTACCTCAAGCCGCGACCAACTAGATCACCTTAGCGCCAATACAAGGATATTTCGCTACCAAACCGGTCTGGCCCTGCCACGCCTTCCTTTCCATTTACTGACTTCATTATTGGCTCAAATACCGACAGTTCAATACAATATACAATTGGTGTAATTGTAATTGGTGGTGTAGTTATTACAAACAAAACAACATATTCCTATACAAGAGCATGTTGACCTGTCGTAGCTCTTGGTACGAAAAAATATTTGCTTATATAAAAAGATAATCGCTTCTCATACTTACAATAAAATTACAAAAATTATATATGTCCCAGCTATTTTCTAAATTATTGTCATTTTTTAAAATCTGTAATCACTAATGTTAAACTACCTCTATAATAATGAAGAAATATTTCGACTGAATCATAGGCAATCCCAACACTGTAATTACATGACTACCAATTATTGTACCTATCTCCATTAACCTAACAATTTGTATTGGCGGACTTAATATTCGAGTATTCGAGTAATAATTGCATTGATTTGTATGCGATCCAACCGCAGTAGAACAATGATACAATCGCATGTTATTCGAAACAATTTCGACGCCATTTCGCTGTCGAAAACACAATTGACGATCAATTTGTAAAATTGACCGCGGCGACCACATTGTCTTAAATCACGAGATTGTTAAAACTACATTTATCATTGAATTTCGTTGTTGCTAAAACATAAGTAATGTATTTGTAGACATGATTTATTAATTCTAAATGTACTTGCACAATTCCGAGTGACAATAAATCGATAACAACTTAACTAGTCATTATAAAACCAATCATAAGTTGTTTGCGGATAATTTCCTTAATTCTAAATTGTGCTCAATCATTATTTATATAAGAATGTTTCCTTGCTTAAAACTTGTTTATCTAGTAAAAAACCGAGATTCATATTTGCTACTTGAATTAAATAAGTAAATGCATTCTATTTAAACTAATGTAAATGTGCAATGAATAAAAAAGATAGATGCGAGGCTATTTTTGTTAATATCTAGCTCAAAGTAAAATTACAACACACCGACATAAAAAATAAACAGTTCCACATATAGAGGTAGAAAACGGAATAAAATATAATATAATATCTAAGAAACAATTCAAAAGGTGAGGTCGATCAAATTAAATTAATTGCAATGTAGTTTATATTCAGATAGATTGCAAAAGTAGAGTGCGCAACGAAGTCTATTTAATATGAACATTTTATAATAATTAAGTTAGCTAGCGTGAAGTGAAAAGTCGTATAGCGTTCAGGTGAAGCAACAACACACATAATAAACTATGTTTATGAAACTAATGGGGCTTTCAATCTACTCTCTGACGTCATGCAGAAAGATAAAGAGTGTACCAGTTTTTAAAATGTTAAGTATCTTTTTAGTTAAACTCACAAGTAAAATGCATTTCAATATTAATATTACAATTTGGAAGTAAGTACGAGGAAATTAATTTTATGAAAGACTTCATTTTTCATTCCGTGTAAAATTATATCGAGACGAAGCTACAAGATAACGAAGAACTCTTAGCTACTTCAGCAAACTTGTACAATTTAATTACAATGGGAAATGGAAATCTAAATGCACCAGGTAAGAAATAAAATGCAAAAGTCAATCTAAAGTCGCCGTTAAAAGCGGAAAGTGGGCCAATCTATAAACTCATTTATTTCTACGGTAACTGGCATAAACGGGACATTAAATGCAGTCGCTTTTTAACTCAATTCTATTTTAAAAATAAAATGGCCATATAAAAGTGTTCGGCTACACAGATTGCTAATTAATGAGAGGATATCCCTGTATTACATGCTTCCGATACAGTCCATGAGCTGCTAATTAAATGGAATTAAAAGTAAGTAGCACAGGACTACTTTAGCTACCGGCGGTGTTTCACTGAGTGAATTTCGGCTGATTGATCAGTAATGAATTTACACAAAACTATTATCATCTGCCCTTTAGTGGCTTACCACTAGAGCAGATATAAAATCTGATCTCTGTACAAAAATCTTTCGAACGATGTTCCTCAGAAACTGATTTTTCTTTGATAAAACTCGTTACTAGTTTTAACCTTTTATAAAATTTTCTTATTAAAAGCACTAAAAGTTTAGCTACCGGAATTTTTATCGAACTTGTTAACCAGTGCAAGTTTTATATGAAACTAAAAATGAAGTGTTCGTTTTTTACTGCAAATAAGTTAGAACTCGGCGATAACATTTTAACTGAAACCAGTTTTAACCGTGCTAAGTGAGTTGTCGAAGTAAAGTTTAATCTGTGAGCAGTTAAGCGCTGGACAAGTTCTGTAACACTTTACCAATTTACTTAATCTTGGATCATTATTTTATAAGATTACACTCATGTAGACACAATGAAACACTATCGAAACACGAGTGATCTTCATTCTAGCAATGTATTCGTCAAAAGCAGAAAATAAATATGACGTCACATTAGGCACCAAATCCGCTATCGTTGAAATGCATGGTTCGTTTGCCAAAAAGCATTAGCATAGAGTGGACTCCAATAAACAAACATTGACGTCTATACAAATCTTCGAATGAGTCAGTCTTAGAGGCTTCCTGCAAAGCAATCTGAAGCAGGATATACGGCAGTAAGGAAAAATCACGACTGACTGAATCCGCAGTTCACTTTGTATGGATTGTGCATCCCTTTCGATGCATTCGAGTGCAGATCACGACGGCTCGGCGCACACACTCCACACCAATACGACAAACACTCCCCAATTGGCAACTCTCGCCTCGTGATTTTGTTTTACCCCGTTCGTATTGAATTTAGGAACGAAATTGAAAGAAAAAAAGATTTCGAGAACTTTCCGTTTGCTCATTTCTACGGAGTATTGAACTGTTAAGGACTTGTTATCTTCTGTTCTTATTGAATCTGGCTCGAAATTGACGACTTTGTTTCGATTTTAATACGACCCTTTTACTTGTATTAGTACTGATTTTATTATTTAAATAAGATTAAATAAATCTGTGATAAACACTACTAACTGTATTTAGTGTAGAAAATAAGAATAAAATTATAAATAATAAATAGCCTATTTTATGTAAAATATTGACCACAAAGTGTTCTACTCAGAATTTTGTCCCAACCAACATTTCTTAGCCTACTCCACGAACACAGTTACGATACCTCTTAGAGCAATATCGCAAAAATCAAATTATAGCTACATTGCAATAAAGATAGCTACTGTCGTAAAACGTAAAGCCACAGAATAAGATGTACAGAAGGCCTATCATTATGAAAATAGCAACTAATCGTCATCGACATTTATAAATGAACACAAGTAAGCTGATATCTGCAAAATTGCTTGCTGTATGAAGTAGTTAGGAAACAAAACTTGATGATGAAGCTTAGTGATTTGATGTTAGAAAATTGACATAATGACAAAAGAACCAAAAGTATTTTGTAAGTGTTTGTATATGTGAAGCTTATTAAGAAGGATCCGCAAGATCCTTATGACAATCTCATTCAATAAAGTTATTTTTATGTTTACTTATCTTTAAGTGTAAACCTTCTATATCTTCCTGCCTTCTGGTAATAAGACGTCGGTATCGTGTATCCAGGTCCACGCTAGTACCCAGAGCCGGACACCGCGTCCCATGGGACCCTGCCCGGGGTAAGGAGCGGTTTTCCACGGGAATAATAATGCAGGAGCAGAAGCTAGACAAGATCGATAAAACGTTATTCCTTTTATATAACGTTGTGTAAGTATTCTGTTGCTTGGACTTGGATTAAGTTGTGGGTTATCTGGTTTACGTATAATATTGCCGGAAAATGCATGCATTTAAACTTACAACTCTCCGGACTTTTGATCAAGAGCCACTCTTGTAGTTCATCATTTGATGAGCGGATAAAGGCTACAATTCAATATAATCTTAACGAAATATAAAGTTAGTCACCATCCCTTACAAGCCAATCTAACAAAGGCATTTTATTCCCAGAGCCTTCTGGTAGCACTCAGTCGCATTAAAGTCATTGAACCCAATGATAGATCTCAATCGCGTTGGTACGAATCCGCCATAATTTTACATCTTCATCGATAGTACCTGAAACTTTAGAAGGACGATTCCGATCTCCGAATTTCCTCTACCTATATCTAAACTTCGGATAGAGTAATTTGACTGGGTACATAAATGGTACTTGTCCAAAGGAAAGATTAGACGAACGATTCACTGTACCGGAGGTCTACTCTGATTCGACGAAAAACGTGTTCCTTTGTCAGTTTAATTTGATCTTACGGTCAGTGACCGAAAGTAGAGATTAGGTTAAGATAAAACAATTCAAAAATGTATATACCTATATTAAGTCAATTAAGTACGGTGTTGTTAATGTTGGATATTTGCAGCATTTGTAAAAAAAAAATTAAAAACAAAAATACTGAAGAGGAACTCCACCAACAATACAGTGTATAACCATTAATGAACCTAATTTAGCAGTTATAAGCTCTTTTGCTATACTACCTTTTACGTTGTATGATGAAAAATAATAATAATTTAGTCGAACCATATTCATTACGTTTCATTCAGATTGCAACAAATAATTTCATTCCGGAACAAAACGGCTATCAGATATTATCTCAATACAAGTTATTACATTGAGAAAATTATATCGTAAGTTAAACCATATGTAATCTATCCTCCCTACCCTGTCTCCTGAGAATTATTATCCCCACGGCGAGGTCTGCTTTCC